TTGACACCAAACGACCATTCGTTCAATTGTTCGTCGCATTTGTAGTAATCGTTTGCTCACATTGGTTACGATGAGTATTGGTAAGCCAACAACTGGATTTGGTACACAACCCTGGGTTGTGAACCCACACATGTCTTGTATCGATCACGTCGAGTTTGTTCTGGATGTCGTCATGTACGCATCGACCATTCGAATGATGCAATTGCCACGTTTGGATCAGCCTTCTGGTGACGACCCATTTTGCTGCCTATTTACACTCAATTAAAAATAAAAAAAAAAGTAAAAAGAATTACATTAAATCATGGCATAAACTTTACTAAAACACTTTGAACAGAAAAAAAACACTCACTTCAGCACAAAAATATAAAGAAATATATGCCGGACAAAGAGACAATCAACTTACCGTTTCAAAATATTCGGCCAATCTCAAAACTAACAGCAAAATTCCAAAGAATAAATACATTGAACAAATGATGAACACACTACCAGAGAAACTCATTTTAAACTGAACTGTCAATTCGATTCATAATCACAGCAATGAAATCCCTACTACCGTGCTAGATGGTGTCGACACGAGTGGACGGATTTTTAAATTTATTTGAACGACGCCATGTTACTATACTTGTCCATTACAACGTACATGTAACAGAAGAAACACACAGTCCATGTCCACGCTAGTGGACATAAACGATTTGAACCGTCAATGTGAACTAGATCAAGTATAGAACTTTACATAGGATCATATACGATGAATATGGATTACACAGTCTGTTTCAAAATACCGTCACCAATGTCGACACCATTTGACATCAACATTTTGACAGTAAAAATATGTGTTATTGTTGTTGTCGTTTCATTGCTGTGTTCATAATACACACAAGATTTTATTACGTTCGATTGTGAAATTCCAATTTTAACACTCAACGCGCTTCTTCCAACAGTAAAATATATCGATGCAATAAATTCACTCTTTCGATCGCATGGCGAAATTATGATTTTTCACGTTGCTAGTTTGTGAATGTTCTGTTATTTTAAAATCAAGACAGAAACAAATACAAAATTCACCACGTAAATAAATCTATTATTTTGCAACATACATTAAAATCACATGAAAGGAATCATTTGTATAAAAAAAACTAACACGATGTGATGCGATGTGATGATTACAAGGCGAATTTTTGAATGTAAACAGATACTGTCGGCTTCGTTTTGACATGCACAACAGCCAACTGTCAAATGTCATACACATTCCAATAGGTCTCGAATTCGAAATTTGAATTTAAATTCATGAAATAAAAAAAAAATATATACGTTTAAAAAATGCGATAAAATGTCTCTTGCTGAAACAAAAATCAAATTTCTTTGTATACCAATTGTTTATTATTTTTTCTGCGACAAATGAATCATTATAATTGAAATACAAAATTAAAACTTAACGTTGTGTTGGGTCGGGTTCACATTGTGCTGTGGAATGTGAAAGCTACACACATAATCTATCTTTTATTTAACACGAAAATGACCACCAAAATGGGTCATAGCGTTACATTTTTCAACGTTAAAATGGATGAAAAACGTTACTACGAGTATACAAAAATTGAAATATCTTTACACAAACACTTTCACCTCTGATTACAAATGTAGATAAAACACGTAATTCCAAATCATTATTGCAGAATGGTATGTGTCAAATGTACCACAAAAAGACATCACACCAAAACCAATCTGAATTCATAATCAGAATGGGCGATACCAAATTTAAATTTTCGAATACCATTCAACCAGAAAAAATCGATATTTTTACGACATTTTTACTTCAAATCACAGATCAAGAATATACTATTAAATTCATTTTGAGCGTGACATTTTTTAAAGATATATTCATCTACAAATCTTTAAGCATCCTGTGCATAACATGATTTACAATCTATCTTTCATGTTCAAATGTATCTTTGGATATTAGCTTAAGGTGGGGTGTACAAATATAAAATCAACCAAAATTTTGGTAAATTTAATTTAAAATCAACTAAAAAAGAATTGGATTTATCATTTTTGACATCTCTGGAGCATATTTTTCAAAAGAGACTATTAGTTGAATAGGTTTTTTATTTACTACCTAAATTTAATTCGTTGTTGGTTGATTTTATATTAAATCTACCAAAATTGAAATAAAAAAACCATTTTTTTTCTTTTTTTGTACTCATAAATTAAAGCACTCTCTCAACTCACAGCATTTTTGAAACACTTTTAAACTAATTAATCCTCATTTGCTGGGCACATGAATTTTTTCTCTTATAAGTTGAAGTATTTTCACATCTGAAAATTTTAGTAATCAATCTCGTGTACCCCGCCCAGAGGCAGATCTATGTAAATTTATCAAAGCAAGAAAACTCATTGTTTGCAACAAAATATACAATATTTGGTACATTTAAATTCTGCAAATGTAAACAGACGTATAAAATCATGTATAAAATACGATCATAATATAAAATCGAATTTTTGGATCAATACACAAACCATGAACACAGCCAAAGTATTCAGAGTTTTTTTTTAAATATCTCTTCAATTGGCTGAGAAATTGTCAAGCAAAAAAAGTGTATCAGTCTGCCTCCCGTTTTCTCTTTCCTTTATATCGAAGTCCTGTATCTGTAAATGTATGCTATTATATCAATGCAGCTCAGGGTCCATCAGACTTGAAGATTCGTACATTTTTGTTAACGTTCAATGTTTTTCATTGTGTAATTCGTGCGCGCCTCCCCACTGCAGTTATTGGAATCTGCGATGCTTTTTCTTTTTTTCATGTTCGTCGCCTTTTTACACTCGCAAAATATTTCAAATATACAAACATCCAAATTTTATGAGCGTCAACGCCATTCTTCCGCCATCACCAACAATAATAAAAATAATAACGACATCCATTGCCACTGGATCATAAAGTACTGAATTCTAAGCCAAAAGAAGTCCTCGTATTACAAGAGTAAACAAAACGCAAGCAAAAAATCAAGAACTGGATGAGTACAGAACTGGCATGAATATTGATCTGGAACAAATTGTTTGGCAAACATTTGCTTTTATAGCATACAATTTTCTCATTTCATTCATCATGCTAAAATATTTATATTCATAAATTTGCACAAGCAAACACTCATATATACATTTTTTCCATAAAAAGTAACTCTTTCCAGCTCTCTTATGAAACAAATGCGAAAGAATAAATTATCATTATTATTATATAGTACTGAATGAAGTTAAATGGTGAATAATAAAGCAAGTAAATTCCACTTTCCACTCATATACATCTTAAGTATTTTTATATACAACGTACTGATGTAAAATTTTGTAGTCAAACATGAGGCATATCAACGAAAATGATAAAGAATGTAATTACAAACAATTCCACCCATTAAGATATGAGTAAAAAGAAAGAGATGTGTCGAGTCATGGTTATAAAATGCAGTAGATGTGAGCGCTCTATAATTCTATAAAAATGAATTGAACAAAGCCTGAAACACAATAGCGTACACAGAAAGAAAATATCAGCCGACGCCATACGCAAAACCGACTGGTACGTGCGCTCATACGTTTTTACATCTTTTACATCTATTACCATACGATTTTTCGACTGTGCGAAGATACGCACAAAGAGTAACGAATCAGTCGAAAAATCGTATGGTCACTAGATGTAAAAGATGTAAAAATGTATGAGCGCACGTACCAGTCGGTTTTGCGTATAGCGTCGGCTGATATTTTCTTACTGTGTACATCGCAAAGAAATCAGCAACGTTGATTCCTAAACAAAACTGTACGCTGAAGAAGGAAAAATGACGAAGAAGAAGATATGTGTACGATGTTCGTGAAGGAATAAATGGATGAAAAAGCAAATGCGTCTCAACGTTTACAATAAAATAAAACGAGATAATTTAATGGTTTTGTCTCATCTCAAATCGTGTACGTATTCAGCATTTGTTGTGTGCGTGTGTTTGCGTTCGGAAATGCTAAAATTGTTCCCCATAATGCAATAATAAATCATTTTCTCTTTCATATTTTCACAGCTACCGATTATCTCTCAAAATTTAAAATGTCACTAAATATTCCCACTTAACCCTCTAGTGCATAGCTCTGCGTTTAGACAGGTGTACATATCATTGTCCAAAATATATAATTAACTATAAAAAATGTTTACTCATAAACTATGTAAAACACATCCAGAAAGGTTTAGCCTTTCATTCCCATTTGACAATAGGTTTTTGTGCCATTACCTGCTGGCTCGAAAGTGCGTAAAATCGTGTGCTATTTGAAGCAAAAAAACTTCTTCTGAAGGTATACCCTTATTTTTGATTGAAATTTCCTCAGACTTGCTGATATTATGTATTTTGGTCAGAAAATAAGATTCACTGACTGTCAGCATTTTTTGTATGGCGGTGTTACATTTCAATAAACTCTCAGGAGAAGTCTCACATTCATTCTCGGACAATCATATATATAATATCAAGTTGGAAAGTGCCAATGCAACTTATAGAGTTTACGGCAATCATGCTCGGTGCACAGAAACTCACACACATATTGTACATTATCATGATCTTTACTATAAAAAGTGGGTATAGCCGCAGCAATGTAAAAACTCTTGGAAATAATAAAGCAGACAATGTAGTGCGATTGAGAAATTCAGTACATACATATAGGATATCGGGCGCATTGGTTTATTCTCATGTTATGCAACAACAACAAACACCGTAAAAAATGAATGTATTCTTTTTCTACGATTATTGCATAATTTTGTATCCTCCGTACACACATGTATGCGCAATCGTTGTTGACGTTATCTTATTGGAAATTTTGTGTAAAGACTTCAGTATATCGATTAGGTTAGCCGATAAATCCGACGACTAATAAAATATCTTCTACTAAGGATGTGGTCGTTGCTTGTTCAATCTGATCCATCCGTATGTATTCTAGTTTTTTTTAAATTTCTAATCATAATTTTCTCTTATTCTCCATTTCAGGTGGAATCTGGTCAATATCCACATATAATGGACTTGGAAACTATATACTGTAAGCTGTTGCACAATCGTGATCGATCGTTCATACCATTAATCGATGCCGAACCAGTTCATTTCCTTTGCACTTATAAAACGCATTGCTTTGCCTTGTGTCATTGCTGTGACTTTGATGCATGTGATTGTGAAATGACTTGCCCAAATAACTGTACATGTTTCCATGATCAATCTTGGTCAACTAACGTCGTCGAGTGTTCGTCAGCTGGATACATTGAAATGCCAACAAATATACCGATGGATACAACCGAGTTGTATATTGATGGAAATGACTTTGGTGAGCTTAGTGAACATAGTTTCATCGGTCGAAAGAACCTCAAAGTATTGTATGCTAATAGCTCAAATATTCAAGTAATCTACAATACGACATTTCATGGGTTGAAAAAATTGACGACACTTCATCTAGAGTACAATAAAATTTTACGATTACAGGGACAGGAGCTAAGTGCGTTGGAGAATTTACGTGAATTATACCTACAAAACAATCGTATCTCGTTTATCGGCAATCAAACATTTGCCGATTTACGCAAGCTTGAAGTGCTTCGTTTGGACAACAACAAATTGGTTCACTTTGAAATATGGCAACTTACACTAAATCCATATCTCGTTGAAATCGCATTGGCTGACAATATGTGGTCATGCGAATGCAATTACTTACACCGTTTTCGCAATTTTTTACAAACAAACACGGAGAAAATCAGCGATTCAAGTCGCATTGCTTGCGTTTACAACAATTTAACGAGTGTTCTCAAAGATAAAAATGGCTCAAAGTGCACGCTCAAAGACGGTGTATCGACCATTATACGGCCTCAAGACATAGAAAATTTATTACCGCTCTTGTTAGCGGCTACGTGCGCGTTTGTTGCTTTCTTCGGTCTGATCATTGGTATTTTTTGCTATCGCAATGAATTGAAACTTTGGGCACATACTCATTGTCTTCCAACCATGTGCTACAAGTCGGCCGCTTTCGTCGATGATTACGATAAAGATCGCCTATATGATGCCTATATTGCATACAGCTTACAAGACGAGCACTTTGTTAACCAAATTTTGGCAAACACATTGGAAAATGATGTTGGATATCGAATGTGTTTGCACTACCGCGACTTCAATACAATTACAAATTATATAGCTGATACAATAATCGAGGCGGTAGAAAGCTCAAAACGGGTAATTCTCGTGTTGTCTCGAAATTTCTTGTACAATGAATGGAGTCGATTTGAAGTGAAAAGTGCTATTCACGAAGTGCTAAAGCGACGACGAAAACTGATTTTTATTCTGTATGGCAATTTACCACGGCGAGACATCGATGCAGATATGCGTGAATATTTGCGAACCAATACTTGCATCGAATGGGATGATAAAAAGTTTTGGCAAAAATTACGCATCGCAATGCCACAAATTAGAAAAAATAATTGTCTGGCAAAACGATCGGCTGTCAATATTTATGCAACAGCAGCCCAAAACTATAATACGACTCAACGTCATGCCGATTACGGTAGACATATGGACTGCAATAATTATGCGACGATAAATGATTGCACAACCAATTACGCTGCAACACCCGCCAATCGAGACAAATACGAAACAGTCAATTGCTACAGCACGAATGAGCGTCGACCACTGCCACCGCCCATTTTATTAAGCGGAAAATCACTCGATCGACATAATCATCACGAATACGCGGTTCCTACGAATTGTACGAAAGACGAAGACCATAGCGGAAACAACAGTTTACTTAGTGCTGAAGCGAGTAGTGGCAGCAGTGGTAAACAGCCTCAACATCATCATCAACAACAACATCATCATCAACATCAAAGTAGTAGTAATAGTAGCGCTAGTACAGGTATTATCGGCAACAATATTGTTTCAAATCAAAATTTAACCATCAATTTGAGCGAAACGAACAGTTACAATAATAGCGCAAACAATAGCAATTGTTGCAATAACGAAGAATGCTGCAATAATAAATGTGATTTAAATTGTACACTCGACAGGCGATTGCCACAAGCTATGTGGGCCTAGTTTTAAGATTAGCTATCGGAACTCAAACGAAAATACCAAACCGAACATTAAACTGGAACTGAAACTAAAATTAAAATAAAATATAAAATTAACTAAATATTAATATTAAACATTTGTTAACAGAGTCAGAAACGGCATTAAACGTGATAGATATTACGTGTAGCAGAGAATTACATTCATAACTTGATTCGAAGTGAAAATAATAAATTATCCAAAAATAATAACAAATTTGGGATTTTTTTATTTTAAAAATTATTCAAAATGTAAATAATCAAAGCGATGAAATGATAAAAACGAACTATGTCAATATAGAATTTATTTCGATTTAAGAAAATATAAACAGCTTATAAATTAATAAGAAATGAAAATATGAATTACGTAAGCAAATGAATGCATTTAAAACTTAATTCTTATATACTTGACCAGAGAGAATAAAAAAATACCATCCAGAATAGCTGTTATGGATGGAATTTGATGAATTACTTCGAAATAGATGTAATGTAGCCAAACAATAAACTAAATAGATCCTGGGGAAATTCTTATTATGAACAATTACAAAATAAAAGGTCCGATCATCTGTTCAAAATCTGTATAGAAACACTGTAATGAAAGTCCATCTTTTGCGAAACCAATTGCCGTTTTGTTTAAATATTGTTTTTTACTTACTTCTTTAAGTTATTTGTTCGACTTAACCCACAAAAATGTGAAATAAATCAAAGCAATCGGTAAAAACTGTCGTTTTAAATATATTTTATCAGGTTATATACATAGAGAAAGAAATCGGTAACTCTGACTGCGTTAAATCACTAATATTATATTGATTTTCAGTATAAAATGTCTGACGAATATTTACGACGCGCTATAAACATCAAATCGGTATATTCAAAAATACAATAATGTTACATGTTTGCTCCGGTCCGTGTTACGTATTGCATTAAAAGTCAGAATTTCACATAAAATATTAATCAATCCAGGAAAAAAAACAGACCAGAAATTAAACGAAGAAGATTTACAAAAAATGCTGTAATTAACATTTGTGATTCATTGATAATTTTGTTTTCACTTTAAAAGATGAACCTTATTTCGTGAATATACCAATTTATCGTTTATAGTATGTGGTTAAAAAATCGTCGTTACCTGTGGTGAAAAAATCCTCTTAGAAAAGGTAAGAATTTTTTTAAGCAAATGCTTAATTCAAAATTTATGAGAAAACTGTTACTACATCATAATTCATATAATGCAAGGCACGATGATGGCAAGAGTGGCTACCAGACAAACCAAAATGACTCAAATTTGGATCACTTAAACCAAAAATAGCACAGATTTGAGACACTTAACATAAACCCAGATGACCATAGTGAAGCTGCTGCGTTACCCAGCTGTCATTATCTATGTGCTTTGATATACAGGGTGGGCCAGAATAAGTGTCGCTTTTATATATGCGCAAAAAACGTATTGTTTTTTACTAAAATTGAACAAAAACTTAATTGGGATTTAGAAGAGGGTCCAAAATTTTAGCGGGACCACCAAACGCAAACGTCGTAAAAACGATTTACACGCGGCGCGCACCATTTCGATGGGAATATCGTTCCAAATCTTGACGATTTTCTTTTTGAATGCATCCAATTTTGTAATTTTCTTAATCTTCAGCACTTTGTTTGCTAGATGTGCCGGTGCCCCATCTTGCTGAAACACCCACGATTCATCACCAAACACAGTTTCGGCATATGGCATAAAGATTTTGCGCAATATTTCTTCTTCATACACAGCTGCGTTAATTTTAACGCCTTTTCCAACGAAAACAAGGGGAAATTTCTGGTCGGCTGAAACGGCGGCCCAAACCATGACAAGTTACACATTTTGAAATCGTTCAATGACTAAATCATCTTCAGAAATGTCCTCAATTTTCGCTGCATAAACACGATCATTTTGCGCATTGAGACTTGGCTGCAAAAGGAACAACTTCTAGTCTGAAAAAACAATGTTTGAGGTTGCGCGCCGGCGTAGCAGTTCTTTGCAGTTTTGCTTTCTATCTTGCTTATTTTTGATTGTCAAGCCGTGTTTTCGGTTTTTTTTAAATGGTTTAACTCCCAAATCTTCTTTCAACACTCGTCGCATTGAAGATCGATTGATATTGTGCTCACGAGCCAAGATTCTAGCTCTTTTTTTGTTATTTCGACGAATTTTATCTCGTACTTTGTTGACCAGATCTTTTGTTCTTACGGATTTTTTTTCTGCCCGGTTTTCGCTTCACATCGACTGTTCCATGTTCCTTGTATCGTTTTATGGTGCGCTGAATAAATCTCAAATTGATATTGTCGCTCTGAAGCTTCCGAAAAATATCAACTTGTCGCAAACCTTTTTTGTGCAAATTCAAAACTAGTTGACGTTTCACATCCATAGCTATTGTAAAGTAAACAAGAATTGCGCAATACTGTGCATCGTCACAGTGGATTGCACAAACATGAAAAAACATAACGGTGAACCAAAGGGTGATCGGCCTCAAACTTTCAAGTACGAGCCACGATTCTGTTGATGTTCCAAGATGATGAAATGGAAAAAGTGCGAGTTTTGTACAAGAATTTTAGAGAAATCATTCATTAGATTTTTTAAATCACATTGAGTTGCTTGATAATTTAAAACTTTGGTCGAAATCTCAACAAGAACTTGATTGAATTTTTTTAGATTGCTTTGGCTGTTATCGTAGAACACTTGGGACCTACGCTGATGCAGTTATTTCTTGTCAATATGCCTCTTTATGCAAAAGAAATCCAAAAAATACAAATCGAAAAAGTCACTTGAGGTATAATTGAACAAGTCAACAAATGGATACTAGTAGTTATTGTATCGCGCTCAAACTTGGTATAGAAGTGCATGAGGGATGGACCTATTTAGCCATAAAAGGGATGATGAAATTCCTTCAACGGTTTCCTTCAAAATGCCAAAGTGTTACTACTTTTTGATCACAATAGTATTTTGAGCATATTGATTTTGAGTGAGAATAATTCAAGAAAATGTACAGAGAGACTGGTACATTCAATTTTATTAAATAACGTTTATTGCGATGCGTGCTATTATATGAATATTACAAATTCTATATCTGAATGTTCAGTTTCAGGCAAATACTAAATATTTATGTAAAAAACGAAAAACCGAGATAATTTTTATAAACTTTTATCTATTAACAATTCAAAAGAAATGGATTTATTTATACATAACATAATTGATAACATAATAGAAAACATTCGAAAGCCATAAATAACACACACGGGGTCCTCTAATACAACAATATCACACAAATAATAATCGAATACAAAATATATTAAATAAATTCATAAACCCATAAGCACACTCCCCGTTTTAATGAAGATAAAAGACCGATAAGAAAAAAAAGAAAAAAAACCAACAATCAATATGAATCAATTTAGATTCGCTGAAAAGAAAAATCATTTCATCAGTCAGTATATTATTAATATTACTTAAGAATATAATGTTGTATTTCGCAACACTCACCTCATACCTTTTATGAATATGTAACTATGAAAGAACAAAAAATAGATAGTAAAAAACTTACTCTTCTTCTCTCTTTTTTATCATGTTCTTTGAAATTTAGAAACACATTACATATTAGAGAATAACACATGTTAACAATATAAATACATATTCATGACAGCCCATTCCATTCCATATTCATTAAAAAATACATCGACGAACGACCACGACAAAATTTTAATGTTCTATGTTTTTGTAAGATATTCCTATGCAGTCAAAAAGCGAAAGACATAAAATAAATTTTCATTTTACTTTCTCAACGAGAATAAAATGATAAGGTTCGATATCATCGTAGTTGCAGATTGTATTGTGCAACTTGATTATTTTATGTACTTTCAACTTGCAACGGATTGGAATAAAAAAATGATATAAAAACAATGAAGCACATTGATGCATATAATACACACATAAATTCACTTTTTATAATGAAAACCTTCTTATTTCATTGATATGACTAATATTGATATAATAATAACAGGTGACATATAAATTATAACTTAAAATTGCATTTTTAGTAACTATTGAATTTAAAAAAAAAATTAGAAATTAATTGATACTTGTATATATGAAATTAGCTATAAATATTACTGGCAGAAATTACAATTCTTGTGAAAACAGATACAGAAATGAAGAAATTGGGGATTTTTTTTATATATTAACAAACACAATCTTTAAAAAAAATGTACGAACTATAAATGTATGAAATAATAAATTATTTATTTTCCTTAATTCGATTCAAAAATTATTCTTTCATTATTTATTATTAAAAACAAATTCAACAGTAAAACATCTTGCAAAAATATATTGTTTGGCAGAGGGATTTCACTATTGGTAAATGGGTAAGTTTGAAAATTTCTTTTGGAAACTTTGTTTGAACCACCACCTAATAGACTGCATTCATGGGGTTTTGTTTATCTCATTACGCAGTGAGCAGCTGCTAGTAGATCGCCCAATCCCAAATTACAGAGCGTAAAATAAGGAATTGCCTTAACTTCCGAAAAAATTCTGTCGACTACCGATTATTTTAAGCATACCAACTCATTCAATTAAATCTTGAAGAAAATACCGACTCTTTTTTAACTCACAAAACTACTCAAATCTGATTGCGCATCAATTCTTCGCTTCGACAATTTTAGCAAAGCATTCTATTTTGTATATGTTTGTAAAGAAGTAAGTCCACACCAAGGGGCGGATATGAGTGAGACTCAAACATGTGCTTCTTCTACAAAACAATACATACACAAGCAACACATGTACAGCAGAAGTCAATAAGTATTCATCACAGAAACAAAGCTGAGTGGCGCGCGCATGTATTTGTGTTTGCACTGCTGTTATGGCGTATACTTTTTATGTTTGTGAGTTAGTGTGTATGTATTGTTTTGAAGAAGATGCACATGTTTGAGTCTACCTCGTTTATATGTAAATTACATAGGCATTTCCAGGTCATGGTCCACACACAACTCCACAGCACAGAAGAAGTAAGTCCACAGCACCGACTGGCTTCACTTTGTTTACATGTTTGTATGTCAAATGGAATAGTTTGTAAGAGTTTCCCTGATGGTCCGCGTAGTTCAAAATTTTAAATTTATTTTGTCGTTAAATATTATTTGTTGGCTGTTTTTTTTTATTTTAATTTGAAATTCTTGATTAGCGAAATCGAAATTTTTAAGTACCGAAATGAAATCGTGACTACCGGTTTTCAGCGAAAAAACGGCTTATTCTACGCTCTGCCAAAT